CTGGATGCCGGGTTCGATCCCAGCTGCGGGCCATGCGCCTTGCGTTGGTTTCGACAGTGGTATCAAGAAAGCCGACCGTCCAGTAGCAATGGCAAACTACTGGACGTAAATTGCCTCGAAAAAAAACAGGGGCTGTTGGGGTTGGTTCTGCAACGTCCTATGAAGGATACGCAACTAACCCTAAACTCCTTTGATCACATCTACACTGAAGAAGTCCTTTGCAGGAGAAGAGAGAGAGAGAGGGGGGGGGGGGGGGCTTGGTGGCTAAGCCATTTTATAAGGTACCCATAATCTAGTCACAATTGTAACCTAACGCTCCCCCTTCGGGGTTGAAGGTGAGAATCTCATTCCCTAACACCCCCCCCCCCCAGGGAAGCACCAAAGCCTCCCCCTCCCCCTCCGGGAGATATTTTTACGTCAGCACCCCCGTGTCAGAGAGAAGGGCGCGAATTGGGGCACCCCTATAAACAGAAGGTGCTTGTTATAAAACCGGTTAGTGCCGGTGATAACTGAGGAGCAGGCGTTTCATGCAGGGATGGCTTGTTTACATGCAAGGATGCAGCTGCTGAAAACACAGGGCAGGAAGTCAGGGCTGCAATGTAAACTCAGCCCTGATTGCTGCAGGTCTACGGAAGCATGATGAATGTTAAACGCCACGGAAATATGCCTCTTTGGCAGATAATTTGTCGATCTTGATTGTGATAAAGGTGAAACTTTTAAGGACGCGCATCTTCCTTGTAGCAACACACGGATGTGAGTTGTGGAATATCTCGCAGTCATTAAGGAAGAAAATAGGGGCTTCTAAGCTGAAATGCTACAGAAAGATTTGCAGAAAACCAAGGACCAAGAAGGAAATACAAACTGACATCCAAACATAAAGTAAGTTGGCTAGCAAACAGCACATTGTCTAGGAAGAAGAAACATTTTGGTCATATCAAGCGCCACCACGGATTAAAAAAAAAAAAAGCCTACAACAATATACGCTGCTAAACCCAAGATTTTCAGACACTAATTTGTCCTCCATGTGTGATGCCATGAACACAATAATGGCGGCCTTTCTTCGCCTGACCATTTCCTTGTGCTTATCTATATATATAAAAATCAATGTTTGTGTGTTTGTTTCACCCCTATAGACTCGGAAACTACTGAACCGATTTAGCTGAAATTTACAGGATATGTTTGTTGTGATACCGGATTTTGAACTGTCGTGGTTTGAAATTCAACCTGTCACTGTTAGAGATAGGTGACCACAATTTATGCTATAATATACGCAACTAATATTTATAACTTTAGTGATTTCTAATTATAGCCACGTTAGTAATTGTGCATGCGCCGTAGTCAGAACGCAAGTCTTCCGCTATTTGCCGGCGAGTTACGTGCAGCCAACGTCTTCTCTAATAACATAGAGTAGGTCGTGGTACAGCAAACAAGACTATCTCTATATTTGTGTAGGCAGTGATTGCCACAATAACCATATTAAACACGATTTCTATTTTCTGTTTTTTTTTTTTCAAACAACCTTCGATGGGAAGGGGGATGGGGGGCATCAAGGACTATCTCGACGTCGTCGCAGACATTGACTGCGACATTAACTTCATTAACCGTGTTAGACACGTGCGATTTCTATTGTTGTGCCGTTTCATTAATATATCTGGAGTATCTGTCTATGAGAAAACAATTGCCTGCGGTTTTGAGTTGTGTTATAATCGGACACAGTAGTAGTAGGGTCACACATCTCGATAGTTTAGTTCTCTTTTCGTTGCTCCTATGAAGTGGCTGCGTGGTCGAATGGTTACAACACTGGGTTCCTGTGCGGGTGACCAGGGTTCGAATCCGCAGAAGTAAATTTTTTTTTACCCCGGACTAAAATAATATCCTTATCTGCTCTGTCGTGGTGACAGCACTAGCCATGTTGCCCTTAATACTAAAAAAAAAAAAAAAAGACAAGTAAATGGGTAAACTATTTGATAATTAAATTTGACCATTTCGCATACTTATGATTGCAGTTTTAAACTTTCCGATTGCATGGTTATGCTGAAATTTCATAGCTTTCCATTTATTTTCATTTAGATTTAGTTATTTCATCTGCGTTGGAATTTTAAGCTGTGCCGTTTACCATAGAGTTCATTTCCTAATTATGGTTTTTTTTTCCTGTTTTCATTTGCTTTTCAAGTGTTTTTTTTTTCTTTCTTCCAACTACTTCAATGAGGGAAAGAGTTGTCGGTGAATTTTTTTTTTTTGAGACGGGGGGGGGGGGGGGGGGGAGGGGGGGGGGGGGGGGGGGCAAACTGTTAACTGAGAGAGCTTTAAGTCACAGTAACTGCTTTACCCGCTAACAGTAGCAGCAGCAGTAATAGTTGTGGTTGGGCTGTTACACCGTAGTGCTCTCATGTGAAGACCGCCGGTAAGGTTATGCGCGTTCTTCTGTCGGGAAGCGAAATTATACATGCTAACCTGACCAGTCCGTGGCGACAGCACTAGCCATGAGCTTTACACGTGATTTTCAAGTTCTCATTACCTAATTTGTTTATATTTTACTAATGCTACCTCCGCTTTTCTATTTTTTACGACTTACTTTGTTATTTACAAGTACAGTTGTAGCTTTACTTCCGTCTCCTATAAAAATACAAACAGCTTTAGCATGTGATAACCAAATAACCAGTTTTGTTACTGTGCTAAAAACACTATTTAAACGACCAATAATATAAAGACACAATTATAAGGTGCGTGTTCTAAAGTTGGAAAACCAGACTATCTCTATATCTGTGCAGAAAATGATTGCGACATTAACTATATCAGACACGAGCGATTTCCATTGTCTTTCTTCTCCAAAAACCTTTGATGAGGGAGAGAGTAGTAGGTGGATTTAGTTGTGGTGGTTAGGTGGGGGGGGGGGGGGGCGCTGATCAAAGACTATCTCTTATCTGAGCAGACAACGATTGTATTAGACACGTGCGATTTCTATTTTCTTTCATTTCCATTTAGCCAAACTATGCCACAGCAACGATTGGCCGGGTACAGCTAGTTTTATATATAATTAACCAAGAGACACTATACTGACCGGCACACATAGAAAGAAGTATAAAGATAGGGCACAATTTGCAGACTGCATTAACTTAGTTGGCTGGACCGCTTGTAGTTCATACGTACCTGTTCGTCTGAGTTTTATATGATTTATTTGATCACTTCCATAAAGTGAGTTTATTTATTCACTGTTTTGTGGTACTTATTTTAAGCTGAGATGACCCGAGCGTCCATTTTTTTTTAAAGTCACAAATCTTTAACTGAGGATTGGAACACTTGGCCATAATACCAATATGCAAGCGTTCCTCCAAAAATAAAACAGGTAGTGCATTAATTTTTTAAACATCTAAATTTACTCAAATATAAAAATTTACACATACTCAAGTTGTTCTTCTTCATCCAGTGTTGCGTACAACACCCGCCTCCATTCCTCTTTGTAATTAGTCATCTCTCTCTTGTCAGCTGTTTGTACTGCACATTACCTCTCGACAGTCTTTCTGGTATGTCTCGTGGTCTACAGCCATTCAACTTCCTTGTGTAGTTTTTACCTCCCTGTCGTTCGAAATCTCTCTATATGATCCATCAATTTCAGTCTATTAGCTCTCACATGCAGGTGACCAACGGTGATTTTAATATATTATGAATTTTATTGTTACTTCTCCTAATCTATTCCAAGTTTTTTGCCTCCAAGAATCGTCCAAAGACTGTTTTCAAAAAATCTGTAACAAGGCTTTATCACTTTTAGTTGTGTCCCTGGTTTCAAAGCCATAAAAGACAACATATTAGCTTTTTAAACAGTGTAATCTTAGTGTTATGAGACAAAGCATCTGATTTTAGGAGTTCATGCAGGACACAGTGTACTTTTTTTCTTTGCAGACTGCATTCTAGATCGTATTTTTTCTCTTAGTTTGCTGGAGCACTTGAAGTTCGTAAGAGCCCGTTCGTTTTGATTTTCATATGGTCTATCTGATCACTTCCATTAAGTGAGTCAGTGTTTTTTCTGCCTCTAGTTCATTTTCTCCAGCTCGTATGCCATCTGCACAACCAAGCATTCTTGTAGTTTCTCGTTTAGTATAATCTACAGACACAAGGAACCACCAGTCTACATACAAATAAGCCCGATATGTAAAACTGACGTGCACGCAGATTAAAATCCAGCAGTGGCTGAACAAGCAGAACTTTCCGCAGGAGTTTGCAGACGGTGAACGTGAAAAAGAACAACAAGCCCTACTGGAGAACCCTCTGATCAGTAACACTGGGACCGCGTTACATATAAACCATCTAGTATGCATGTACTCGTTTTCCCTTCCAACTTTCGCCCCACAATCAGGTAAGAAACACTGACATACTGGGAGAGGAAAGGGGGGGGGGGGGTAGATTAGCCTCGAGACTTAGAGTCCCCATCGAGTGCTGGAGGTGCCGGGTTCAGGCCTCGGTAAAGGTTGGGATTTTTTCCCGTGGACTTCTAGTAATTTTCTCTGCTTTCCAGGTAGTAAGATAGGACGCCCGTGTGTTATTGTTGCGCACGTAAAAAAAATTCCTTGGCAGTTGAAAATCGAAGAGAGTAGCCTAACGGAGCCGTCCGCGCAACATTTGGAGTTAAAAATCTACCCAAAACTATTTCATGATCCTCGTCGATGCTACGGAGTTCGTGCACTGCGCTGAGATTCTTCAGATTTGGGCTTGTGTTAGAAGCAGAATGGAGCACTTATGGGTTACTACCCTCGTGCCATGATGTTGATCCGTTGTTTAAACTAACTAAAAATTTAAACAAGACATGGAAATGACTGCACAATAGAGAACGGAATGAAAAAATACAAAGATTGCGAACCCTATGTGACATACAATGCACAACATGGATAATGAATGGATCACACATATTTAAAACAAAGAGTTGTCATATACACAATACAAAAACACTGGGAAGAAGAAAAAAAAGAAAGACGTGAGATAATTAATTGCCGGCACATACTGACCCCGAGTGAAGAACTTAGTCCAGCAGCAAAAGTAGACGAGCCCGGCAACGAAGTTGTCGAACCTGCTCGTGAGCTGTATGCTGAGCCCAAACCAGAGCTGGATGCCATTCCGGAACCAGGCAGCGTTGACGCGGAGCCGTACCCAACAGCGCTTAAGCTGGATGTTGAGCCTACCCCACCCGAGGGTGGAAGTCCTGCTAAAGACGACGAGGAACTGTGGCCCAGAGATGCACTGCTGGTAGTTGAGCCAATGGACGACGATGTCGGCAAACCAGAGCTGGAGCTTCCATAAAGAGATCCAGCAGACGATCCCAGAATGGAAGAGCTGTACCCAGAACCAGAGCCCAGCCGGCTGGCTCCGGGGATATATGGTGCTGGGGTGGACGTGGAGGATAAGATTTTAGATCCGGGAACGTACGGCGACGGGGAAGTGGGGCCTACACTAGAACTGTAGGGTGTGCTGCTGGTACTTCCCAGTGATGACGTTGGAGGAAAAGCGAAATTGCTACCACTTGAGGTGTACGGCGCAGAGCTGGCTAGCCCAGAACCAAGGGAAGAAGAGCCATAACCACCGGTGGAGCTGTATGGGCTGGGCGAATGTCCGTGATACGACCCACCATAAGATCCTCCTCCTCCTCCGCCACTACTGCCGTAACTACCACCACCACCAACTCCGCTGTATGAGCTGCCAGTATACGGGTTAGAGTATGTCCCGCTTGAGTAGCCCCCACCAAGGCCGCTGCTGCTACTGTAACCGTTCCCTCCTCCGTACAGGGATGACCCTCCAGATCCAGAAGACGAACCGTAACTTCCACCCGTGGAGCCATAACCTCCATAGGAACCGCCAACTCCACCACTTCCGGTGGATCCTAGGCTACTGCTCCCTGCTCCGTAACGATGGGAACCATACGACATGATAGACTAGTAAAACTAAAGCGCAGCTGTAGCACGCAGGACGATTGAATTCTAGCTTGGCCGTTTTCAAATTTATCAATGCTGACCACAAAACAGAAAGTAAAAATCTGGAATCTGATCTGATCTGTACAGTTCTAATTTACTCGCTGCAGCACATGAACACGACTGCAACCAGTGGACGTTCTGTTTCGTCGTCCGAGTTTTAACACAACTGTGAACTACTCTCCAACTTAAAATAAGGATGTTACTGGCTCTACTGACGGGATGTGACAAAACCTGCCACTGACTAGACACTTATCTAAATGTCAGAACAAACAATCATTTCAATACAGCTAATGCGACACACCGTTAGACATATGTACAAACTAGAACTACCATTATTTTCGAACGCTTACCAATACACACGCAGTAAAGTAGTAACACATGCAAACAAACGAATTTAAAGAACTTTAAAAAATCATAATTAAGAACACGATTTGTGTGTGTGTGTGTGTGTGTGTGTGTGTGTGTGTGTGTTGGGGTGGGGGTATGGTTACGAAGGATACATCAGTAAAATATAAATGCGGTGGAGCTGTGTGCGTGAGTGAGACACACACACACACACACAGAGAGAGAGAGAGAGAGAGAGAGAGAGAGAGAGAGAGAGAGAGAGAGAGGAGAGAGAGAGAGAGAGGGGGGGGGGGGTAGGAGGTCAATCCACCAACGTTGTTGTCGGTGTACCAAGTCAGATAAAAGTCTCAACACCAACTTGACTCCTGCAGGCATTGATCTTTCTTAGAACTACGTCAACACGAGCGCCAAGACATTGGGGGAGGGCTTATGTATGCCTTTTAAAACAATGTTCTTCAAAATGTTAACACCTGCAGACGGACCGGAGGAAGGAAACAATTTGTAACTTAAAAAACACACACACACGCGCGCGCGCGCGAAAAAAAAAATCGTTGACAAGGAAGCTCAACGGAGAGAAAGAAACATTAGATGTGCCCAGATACAACTGAACAAAGGCATTCGTTGATCCCTTCTTCCTAAAGTCCATGCCATGTGGCGTTGGTAGTCATGCCTATTCACAACCTTCCTACCTCGTGTACTTTCAATCAAATCTGTCACAGATGATCTTTCATGCTATCATGTCAAACCGTCCAGCATCTGTTCTCTCGGTCTCCCTCTGCCTCTCCTCCCCTCCAACTTTCCTACCATCACGATGTACTCCAGTTTTCTCCTTCTCATCACATGACTAAAGAAAGTAGATTGTCTCTTTCTGATGTGTGCAGTCAGTTCTTTTCGTGAGCCAGTTTCTTTCGAGATGTCTTCATTACTCGTTGCATCTGTTCCTTCAGTCTTCTATAAATACTGTGTGTTGTGTTTAGTTACTTAACAATCTAAAGTCGGGACCACTAGCAAAACAGTATTACAAGACACTTCCTTTGACATCCGCCGCACATCGGAAACCGAAGCAAAATTCAGTGATAAATATTTTACCGGATATAAAGCGGCTTATCAAATTACGCAATAACGCCGTTACAAATGGCAGCTTGGCTTCAAAATGACGCCTCCATAAACGATACAGTAAAAAACCCACTTTTCTCGTGCGCACAAATAGGTATTTTGACGCGGTAATATAATGCTATTGCTGTTTGTGTTCACCTGCTGTAAACCCCGGCGGAAAGATAAGGTTGTTCGTCCATTTCTGGACTTTGGCTTTGTTCCAGGACCTGAGTTTTACGTGTGCAACCGCTTTACAGGCCTTGCTTATTTGTATACAGACTGTTGGTTCCTTGCCTCTCAGGCAGACGCACTCCGACTTTAAAGGAAGCTCCCAATTATTCGACTCTTTCGTCACGCTTGTTGAGGAAGCAATGGGTCTATTCTAGTTTCCCCCACAATGGGACCCTGAAACCCACAAGGGGAGGTAATATAATGTTTAGGACGCTCAAGCTTTATTCTGACAGGACATAATCCTTACCCGCACAGGCCTGCGATGTCACAGCTGGCTGGTGCAGCCGTAACGGGTGCCCTGATTATCATACACATACACGCGCACAAAAACACCCAACTGATCCGTGATTCTGGTGATGGTGTGAGATGGCGAAGCGTGACAGCCCACGCTTACCGGCATGGCACATGATGATGATGATGAATTATAACTTCCTGGGCATGGATAGGGGTCAATTTTTTACATACAAAGTTAGGCTCCGTACGAATTTGAATCTACAACCTTTGTATCCCCCAGGCGAGCGTCTAGCCACTACAATACAGAGGCTCTTCAATACCGCCACTTAATGTATATGAAATGCAAGAACAATTCACATCGCCCAGCTACTGACTTGAGTGCATGACATGACACTGTGAGCTGCAGATTTCATCTGAAATGTTTTTCGACTGTTACCAACGTGGTGTCGTGAATTGTAGATTTGGCACAAGAGCGGAGCAACTATGGGGTGACCTGTTTGCTATGAAGCTGAAACTAATTTTACCATTACCTAGCCAAAGGATTATCTTTAGTAGGTAGGTGCTTTGCAAGAGGGAAAACAAATCGCCATGTTCAACCAATATCTCCGGAAGGGGCAACTTTAGGTTATAATTGTGACTAGGTCATGTGCGCCATGGAACATGACTTAGCACTGGAGGCCACCAACATCCCTGACAAGGAACTCCCGCAGTGTTGATGCGATTAAAGGAGGCAGACCCAAATACTGTTTTGGACTAGGGCGAAGTCGTCAACCGGCGAGCCAATGGGCGGCACGGTGGCCTATGTGGTTATGTTACCTTTAGTTCCAATACTAAGAATTTAAAACGCGTAATATTAATTAAAGAGACAAATCAGGGGTGGGGGTGGTGGTGGTGTGGGTTAGAGGGTGGATGGGTCAAGAGGTCCTATTCACGTTTCCCGGTCCATCTACACACTTTCTCAGTCTGGTCTAGGTCAGAGGGGTCTCACGTTGTACTGTTTACTTCAAAAAGAGTCTCTCGTGGGACCTAGGCTGTGGGTAGGGGGGGGGGGAGCAGGTTTGGGTTAGGACACGCGACATCGGTACTGATGTAATTAGAGGCAAGACAACATGACACCTCTATTATGTAGAGCCGGAAAACGTTAAAAGGACAGGACAAGAGACAGGGGAGGGTCACTGGGTAGAGGAGAGGAGAGAATGGAGAGGATAAAAAAAAAAGGGGGGGGGGGCGGGTAGCTTAAGTTAAGCAAAAAAGGGTAGGCCGGCAAGAGAAAGAAAAGGGGAGGGGGGAGGGTAGCTGGAGATAAAGCGACAGTGGGAAGAGAGTCAGCTGAGAAAGGGGGGGGGGGCAGAGGATTACACCGAGGAGAGAAAGACAGAACGGAGAGTTGGAGAGAAAGTGTGTGTGTGTGTGTGTGTGTGTGTTAGAGAGAGAGAGAGAAAGAGAGAGAGAGAGAGGTGTGGATAAGGCAGAAATAAAATAGTAGAAGGCGCAACTAAGATAATACAGCGAGGAGAACCCACAAGCCAAACAGGCCCATTAACGAAACCACTAAAACTCGACACAGGCAGAAGCAATAACAACATGGCGCCCCAATATAACTTGAAGCTCCTCTCTTGACTTCAGTGGGACTGCATATTTATCCTTTCCGCTGTGTCTGTTTTTGTTGTCACTTTTCAAACTCCTCGCGGCTAACTATAGCCCGTGTGCGCGTGGGAAAACAAGTAAGTAGTTACAGCAGATAACCGCCTTTTTTTTTTGTAACCCCCCCCCCCCCCCCCCCCCCCCCCCCCCCCTTCCAACCCGCTGCAGGTGAAACAACCCCGGGTGAGTCATGGTTTTGGCGTGAGAAAAAGCCAAGACAGGTAACTAACTAGACAAGCACGCGGATCAGTGAAGAATGTGTGGATGTGCGCGGTCGCTGACGAGTGTAGTCAACATCATCACGTGCCAAGTTAGATGGCTCTTGGCTTACTGGGTCAATTTTACCCAACACAACCGTCTACTCTACCTTCCTTTCTTCCTCCGCCTCCTTCTTGTGCACACATAACACGCCTCCGTTGAGATCTTGACTGACCTTCTTATTCCTGTTAGTGATTCCAAGTGTTTGTAGGTCTGCCTGTACATTATCTTCCCAGCGTCTTCTAAATCTGCCTAGTGGTCTTCTCCCATTCTACTCTCTGTATTACGACCATAGTTTCAGTAAAATAAATATCAGGGTTAAATTTAAAAAAAAAATTTTGGTGTAGAAAAGAATTGGTAATATTATTTCATAATCCAGAAGCCGCCTGGTATATGTGAAATCCTCATCGTTTCACACTCGCACGTCAATATATCTGTAAGATTACCGCCATCTTATGTTAATTAGATCTTAGACAAAAGACCGATAAGGCATGTGACTTCAACGTCCCGACTCTCACAACATCATGTGACTTCGAAGTCCCGACTCTCACAACATCATGTGACTTTAACGTCCCGACTCTCACAACATCATGTGACTTCGACGTCCCGACTCTCACAACATCATGTGACTTCGACATCCCGACTCTCACAACATCATGTGACTTCGACGTCCCGACTCTCACAACATCATGTGACTTCGACGTCCCGACTCTCACAACATCATGTGACTTCGACGTCCCGACTCTCACAACATCATGTGACTTCGACGTCCCGACTCTCACAACATCATTCGTGTACAGAGCAGCCTCAGTCTTCAACAGAACAGTGAAACCAAACAGGGCTATTAACAATGCAGCCTAATGGACACACAAATCCATGTCAGCAGTAGAAAGGTGTACATATCTACCAATTAGCAATTTTAGATGAAGGGTGATATGTAGGAGGACAGAACATACAATATATCTCCGTGTGTTGAAGCTGATCTCGTAATTTATGTGTACACACTACATGAACGCCCAAGTAGCTCAGCTGTTGTCAGAAGCTGGGACTTCCGTGGTTACTTTGATCATGCTACGGGACATCTACAACGCCCATAATTGAAAACCACTTTGGTAACTACTCTGCTCTGGGACTTGAAAGGCTTGAAT